TGCTCTCCGTTGTTTTTTCCCTGCCAATTTTAGCAGCCAGCTTCTGTATCACGTGGTATAAGGCTCCGCCCTTGTCATTTGTTGAGCAGGAAGAGTGAGCGCTTGTTTTCATGCAGATTACGTCCCGGATCAAAATGCGGTACAATCGTCGTCGTCTTTATTTATTTATTTTTTTTTTTAATCGTTGTCATTTGGAAATGAGATCGCACATAAGTATGAATTGAGATCGCGATTTTCTAACGATTAATCGTGCAGCTCTACTAATCACCTAAACATCTCACCGGCAGCTACTCAAAACAAAGGTTCAAAGGCAGCAGGGCAAAGGCAGGAGGGACAGTCTGCACAGTCTATTCAAATCAACAAGTCCCCCATAGAACAGAATTAAAACCACATTCACTTTCAGCAGAAAAAGGTAAAACACTAGAGAGGATGACAGTCTGAGAACCTCCAGTATCCCTAAAATGTGCACAGGTTTTAAATCACAGGGATTGTCGGTTAGCGATACTGAGCCATCAAAAATGAATGGTTCGAAACATGGGTCCGGCACCTCATTACAGGCCTCAGCTTTTACAAAACCCACCCCTTTGGGTTGCTGAGCATTTGATGTTTTGCGTTTTAAGGCTAAACAGTCAGCAATCACATGTCCAGTTTTATGACAGTAAAAACATTCGTGGTTTTCCCTGGACCCAGACACTTTAGCTGTGTGGGGCTGTTGCACAGCGCTAACCCGTGGCTTCTCACTGCCAGTAAACGAGGCTTTATGAGTGAGCACAAACTCATCAGCAAGAACAGCAGCAGATACGAGAGAAGTCGCTTTCTGTACATTTAAATATAACACAATACGCTCAGGAAAACAAAGACCCCCTATGAGGGATTCCGGGATATATATATAGATAGATGAGAGAGAGAGAGAAAAGTAAGAGTTGCATATGTTTATACACTAATATACATGAATGCAAAAAGATAAAAAGAAACATGACACAATGTAAACATATATGACCTGTATGTAAGTGTGTGTGTGTGTGTGTGTCTTTTTTTCAGGACCTACATGAGGGTGAAAGCAAGAGTGCACGCTGATAAAGACAAGGTAAATTATAATCTCGACTGATCTCTGTTTTCTCTACAGCGCTTTCTTTTGCTATTTTTACTTTCAGCTTCACCCTTTTTTTTCTAACTCATTTTTTTGTTTTGTTTTTGCTGCTGCTCCTATTTTTAGTTCTTAGTTTTATCTACCGGTATTTACAAGATTTTTACAATTGCATTTGCTAAAGAATAAGGGAACAAAGATAAGCAAATAAATCTTTGTAGTATTTTTATTCTTTAAGACGAGTGAGAGTGAAGGAAGTGTCTATACCAGAAACCACACATGATGAAATACACACTTCTCGTCTGATCTGGACACAGATGCCCCACTACATTTGATGTTCAAATATGACCTGTTATGCATTTCCTTATTTTCTGTCATATCTACCCTGATAAACTCAGGGGTTGCAACAAGAGTCTTTTTATAAGTACACGAGGCTTATTGTGGAACTATGGGCAATGCAAACCTACTCTTGTGTAAAACACGTCAATTTTAAACAAACTGTGTGTGTGTGTGTGTGTGTGTGTGTGTAGGTTGTTGTGGTGAACCCAGTGTTCTTTAAGTATGTTCATGAACGTTGGAACGAGCATCATGGTCGCTACCCGTCCACTGGCATGCTGGCCATCGTCTTTGCTCTGCATGTCTGTGACCAGGTAAGAGGAAAGTAAAGACTGGGTGTAGAGAGAAAGACCACATTTGTTCTTTCTTTGTTTTGTATATTCACAAAATATGGTGTTACTAACCAAAAACAGACTAGTCCAAACAATATTGTAGCATGTCCAGACTAGCAAGTCATGGCAATACAACCAAGACTAGAAAAAGTTGCATTTCCTGCGAAAAGGCAGTTTGAATGCCGTGTAGTGGAATCTGCTAAAAAACAGCTGAAGAAGCAGAATTATCTGCTGAAGAGGTGTAGAAGCTGAACTGCTGAAGACAGTTGTATTTGAAAGGGTAGACTGAAGAGTGTCAAGAAAGCAGAGTGCATGCAAGCGGGAGAAGATGTGCGGCAACCGCCACAGGTAGGATTCGAACCTTCGCTACCGGGTCTCACGGCGGCTACTCATCCCACTGAGCCAAACCAGTTCTGGTCCCAAACAAAGATGTGATGAGAGAAAAAATGTGTACTGTGCAGAAGAAACTTAGATTTGTGCTGAAAAAAGGTGAAGAAGCTGAAATTTGTGTTGAAAAGAGTTAAAAAAAAGTTGAACTGTTAACTGAATAAAATGTTGCCATAAGCGGCCTTACAGCATTCACACAAAAATTAATATGTGAGGTTAGAAGTCACACATGAAATGAAGCGTATAAAAGCGGGATGTATTTAGTATCAGTATGACCTGTCAGCAGTGTGTCATGCATGGTTGATGAAATAGCTTCCTTCTCTCTGTCCAGGTGTCAGTGTTTGGTTATGGTGCAGACAAGCAAGGAAACTGGCATCATTACTGGGAGAAGAATCAGTTTGCCGGAGCCTTCAAGAAGACCGGCGTCCACAGCGCTGATTTTGAGAGTCAGATCATCCAACACCTTGCCAACGAAGGCAAGATCACTCTACACCTCAACACAACCACATCCGTGCAGACAGAACAAGGCACCAACGACAGACTGGCACATAAACTCAACTGACCTCTACCTGGCTGATCGTCAAAACACCTGGCTGTCCTCTGGCACTCAAAAACCAAATCTGAGCCAGTTTTTAGACCATACATTTGTTGTTTTGGGTAGAAATTAGACTCCTGCACTTTTTCTGTCAGTCACCACAACTGCCTTGAGTCAGACATCCAGGAATGCTGGATTAATGAATGTTGTTAAGCTTTTCAGACAGCTGAATTACCTGTGGACACATCTGTGAGGCTTATCTAATTTAGAGATCCCCTGCCTCTTCCAACATTTGCTGGCTGAAAGAAGTTAAAGCTCAACTCAAAAAAATCAGTCTGTTTTTCTAGACCTAAAACCAACTTTCCTGACGTGTGCAACTGCTGGGATAGACCACAAAGACCTTTGCTGTGAGCTGGAAACAACCACAAACTTTATTTTATCCTATCTTTGTTTTTATTGGATTTTATAGGTACACAGGGATAACCTTTTTTCTTCTTCTTTTTTTAAATGTTTTAAATAAAAGCACTTTTTCCTTAAGAAGAAATGGTGGAAAGAGGCCAAGTGAAGGAAGTGTTCACTTGGCCACATACGATTTCTTGCATTGTATATCATTTATAATCCCTCCATTTTATTTGATCCTAATTTTAACACAAACCGTCCTGACCTAGAAGATCACGACAAACTTTTTAAGCCTTGTTACTTCTGCATTTTCAGAATGTAAGCCAATGATACTTGGAACTTCCTGTCCGTTCTTGGTTCTCAGCCTGTGTGATTCAGCAGTCTCCTGCAGTCTCAAGGTTTGCAGCTGATTTAATCCAAAATAGGGAGATATTAGTTTGGTTTACTTTTCTAATCAATGCACATAAGCCCCTGTTGTATCCAACCTTCATGGGAAAAGTAAAGTCAGGAGAACCAGTCCTTCTGTTCCACGTCAATACAAAAATACTCAAAATGTGGTGATACTTGAAACCTAAACTTAGTTATTGGAAATATAAGGGCTGATATTGGCACATCGCAGGTAATATCACTGTTAGTCTGCATGTCAGATACACTTCAATATGGAAACTTGTGTGTAATGTGTACACAGAATGAAAGGTGAGCGTGACGACCTTTATACTCTCTAAGTAAAGTTCCAGGAGGTTAATTTTGCTTAGGCTAACATAGCTTGTAACTTGAGCTAGGTGCACCTCGTGATGATTATTATTAAATAAACTCAGCAAAAAGCATGTAAATTCAGTGTCAGTATAAACTACCAATCTTCTTCAGATATGCTTCGGTTATTGAAGCATAGGAAAGAGGGAGGAGGGCTATGTTATATTAACCCCGATTCTTTTGTCCCCATGATAATTAATAGGCTGGTGTGAAAAATTGCTGCCACACCGCCCCCTCGGCCTGTGCTTCGACATTTCTGGTAGTTAGAATGACTCGGGGGTGTTGATTCATTTAAACTAACATAATCATCCGGCTGCAACCAGGTTTCTGTAAGGCAGAGTAAATCAATTTGTTGATCAACTATTAAGTCATGTACTAACAGAGACTTTGAGGAGAGAAACCTAATATTTATTAATCCACATTTCTCTGTGAACTCTTTGGTTCAGATGTGGATACTGTATTGTTCTTTCAATCCCAGTTTAAAACCACTCCTGACTTCCCTCAGTGTACACTGTAAACTCCAAACAGATACAAGTAGCTTTTCTGGTAAAAGGTCCTAGATTATTTTGTCAACCTTTGGTAACATCCTCTATAGAGTTAACCTGTTTCATCTTTAAACTTTAGGCCTGGTTTCCTCGCCCCCTTTAACGGGTAGCGCATATCTTTTATGCTCACATTTAAACTGTCTTACGAGCTTTTAATCTCCTAAACACATCTTCTGGAACAATGGTTCTCTGTGCTTCTTTTTGGGGTCTGAACACCGTGGACTTGAAGAGTTAATAGCAGGCAAAAGACAGTGCAACTGACCTATAACACTGAAGGGTCAAGCAGCAGCATGTATGAATACCACTGATGGAGCTTTGAATCACAAGCTGGAAACTTGACAAGTGACATGACTGTTTGAAGGCACTGGACGTGATATTTGCCATGCTGGGAGTTAACCTACAAGAAAAGGCTGAAAGATTAACAGAGAAGAAGAAACAGCTGAGTTGGGCCTGTGTTTGCTGGAGATTTGAAGGCCACACAGGACACTGTGAGAAGAGGGACGGGGACCAGTGAGAGGTCAAGCCCGGACGAGTTTGAGTGAGAGAGTACAGGATATAATTGGATTGAAAATGGAGGCTGAACTCATGGAGGTTTAGGATTGTCCACCACATCACAAAAAAAAAGGAAGAGAAAGACAGAGAAAGATAAATACATGAACTAACAATTACGTGAATGAATAGAAAACACACATACACAAATTGTTACATGTGAAATTATTTTTGGAAAGAATCAGAAGTGCGATAGTTTGAATCCACAGCTCAGTGCAAGGATGCATGAATTAAACCTGACTATAAAAATACACATGCAATGAAGAAGCAGCTTACACTCGACCTCTTTTCCCGAAAATCAAACTTGCAGCGTAACATCTCACAGTCCATGTCCACACTGGGGACGAAGAATGAGAAGAATTCATCTGTGAGTGGCAGCCGCTGATCTGGTCTCAATGTCAACTCTCCTGATGTTAAGAAGAAATTCAAATTGGGACACAAACGAACCGGGCGGAAACACCAAATATTAACCCCGATTCTTTTGTCCCCATGATAGAACAGAGAAAACCGACCCATAGTGTGTTAAAACATTTATATTTCTTTTTATTCAATCATCTTCCAGAAGAGAGAGACCCCTGCACAGCCCAAAACACCAGTCTCAGGATCTCTAACATTAGAATCATAAACTGTGTCTCATATAGATATTATTTTGGTACTTTACACGTCACAGTTTCAATACAACCATTGCTTATATGGCAAAGTTTCTCTTTTCTGTCTGGCTTCCTATATATATTAATATGCTGTACAGCTCTACACTTCCTGTTTTCAGTCTGGCTCAGCACTTAGTTTATGAGTCAAAAGTGGCCTTTTCTCTACAAACCTTCATTATTAAAGTACATAAAACAATATAATAAGAAAATAAGGATACTAAGGATATATTAATTACACGACAGTTACCAGCTGATGTTTGCAAGCCTGGTTACTAACTAGACTTTAGATTAGTGTTAAGCAACAGACTGAGAAACAAAATCCAAAAGCATGCAAACTTTTGTTCACCAAAATTGGACCACAAACGTTTTTGTTGCCTGATAGTACAATCAGGCACATCAGGCCATGTTATTCAAATTTGGCAGTTAGAGCTGCCTACATGTGATTTTATTTCATTTCGAAGCTAGCCTCAAGTGGCCTCTAGAGAAAAGCATTTCTACTTTGGGTTTCCTTCTTGACATTAAGTAAGAAATTCTATATTAGTAGCAGTCATCACAGTAGTATGAGTAGTTTCTCCTTGAGAACATGTGGGTTTTGTAAAGATTGGGGGAAAAGGAGCATGGCAGCTTTGAAGTATGTCGACAAAGGCAGATTCTTAACCAAGACAAAATGCTGACTAATGGATGCAGTGTGATGCACTGTCCAGAAACCAGTGGGTGATGTCACAGAAACTATTATGTCTTTTATATAAAGTCTGAGGAATCATGGCGTTTGGGCTTCACACAGTTGGGTCACATGTGCCATCATCGACGTGGGCAGGAGGTAAATATAGTATTAGATTCTGGGCTTAAGACCGGTGAAAACTGGGGGACATTTTTATCATGTTTTTATTTTTTAGTGGACTTTTTAAGGTTGTCATGAAGAGTCTGTAATTTGTCTCTGATCTGCCCCCTACTGGATGTACTTTTTAAACCACAAGTTCATGAATGCAACTGTTTGCTTTGTAATTCTGTGCATATGTGTACTTTAAAAAAAAATGGCTGTTATAAGAAACAAACAGCCTGCTGTAGTAATGAGGTTGGCGTGTTAACAGGCTGTTCTAATGCAACAAAAACGTGCATATTTGTGGTGACAATGTAGACGTATATATACAAATAAGCCAGTGTGAAACCACCCTGAGACTGATGTTCAGTGAAAAGCTCAATCTGCTCCAAAGAAAAATGTTCATACAATGTGTTGTCCAACACTCCTCTTTACCAAGTATAACTGTACAAAGTGGGTAGGATTTTTTTTTTTAAATTTATTTATTTTATTGCCTCAAAGGAAAACAAAAGTCAGATACCAATAATGGAGGAATAAAAAAAAAAAAATCCTTTGAGAATCACAAGCAGGCTGAGGACTTGCTGAATTTTCATTTGGAGGATGTTGCTCTGTCATTGGTGTTAGCTTGAGTGAAGCGTTTACCCTTATCTGTCTGGAACAAGTCAGTGTCTTGTAAATCCAACTGCTGCATCGCCAGAAGCCTTAATGTTAATATGAAACATCTGCTGCTTGCTCTAAACTTTTTCCATTCACTGCTAAGATCTAACACTTTGTTGCCTTGTCCAGGAAGGGAAGGAAACTTCCTGCCAAATTACCTGGGAAATTATCCAGTTTACACACAGATGAGGAATGCTTTAATGTGCCATAAAACGACAGAGCAGCAGCCCTTCTGAGTCCTGAGCTGGATTGTTGTAAACAAGTTTACTTCCTCATCTTTAACAGAGGAGTTTGTTGTGACTTTAAATCCAAAGTTGTGCTCAATGACTCTCTGCAGTCTTCAAATGTAGAGTTTTATTTCCATTGCTAGGTGCAGATAAATCCACTTAGTCAGCTGCTCGTAATTCCATTATAAACATCTGTACATGAGCTGTAGATTTAGTACAAAGTGACAACAAGTGACCAAACGTGTTCGGCCTGTGGTACCATAGCTTTAATTCGGCTCGTCATGTAAGTTTCATTTAACAAACTTGCTGATTATCAGTCCATTTATAGAGGCCAAACTGACAGAAGCATTGAAACAACAGATAAAAATCCTGAATCCACCGCTGTCACTTTGAATGAAATAAAACATTTTTAAAAAAACAGAATTCATGGGTTTTTGTTTTTCTATTTGAAAAATTGTCCGTACTCTGGAGGTAAGAGCTGAACTGATCGTCTGTGGAGTTTGTCTATAAAAGCTGATTCTTACGCCAATGAATTTCTGCCACTATGCCAAATTCTTTTCTTTTCTTTTTTTTAAATGAAGATGCTTTAACAAGAACTGTTTTCTTTCATGAAAATGTTTTAGAAAAAAAAATCAAGAAGTTTATACAAAGATGCTATAAGGAAAGGTCTTATTACAATCCCTGGCAAAATTATTTTAGGGAAGAAAAAAAATGTTCTCCAACCTGCAAAGCTCATCCGTCAGCTGTTACACAAGAAAGCTGGAATCAGCTTGATGGAGAATGTTTCTTTTCATGGATGAAACCCAGTGTTGATGTTATGGGCGAGCTTTGGGGGTCTATTCACGAAGGTCAGCTGAATTCTACTGACATTTTTCAACAATGTTTAATTTGAATCATGCTTGACTTACTGCAGCTCAAGTTAATTAATCAGTTAACAGCAGCTCATTGCTTCTACAACAACTGCAGTAACTAGTTTGACATTTGGAGGCTCACATGGGCCTGTGTAGGTTGGACTTGTGGAAGTACTCTCCTTAGTGTTTCTTTGGAACTAAGGAGAGGTCATACATCCAGAATTATGGATACGGTTGCTCATTTTTCTTTAAAGTTTTGTGTACACACACTTTTTTTTTTTTAGATGTTTCTTTTTAATAACAGAGCAAAATGAGTTGAGCAAAATGTCTCCTTGTCAAAACTAGTTTCCCTTCCAGTACATGTGCTCAGGCCATTGCATAAGCCTGAGGTGAGGTACTTTGATGATCTGCTTTATCAAAAAAGTATTATATTTGGTTGAGGCATGTTTCATAAAGCCAGAGCAATTAAACAATTTGTTCATTTGCTAGACAGAAGACGCTTTTTTACTCTTTTTAATAAGTCCAAACGTTTTGCCAGGGGTTATAAGCTGATATGTTGTTGTAACCAGGAATGGAAGTAGTAAAGTTGAGTGGCCACAGGTCACTAAAGTACAAATAATGCCTTAAAAAGCAAAAAGTTGTTCTAAATTCAGTCTGAATGGGTGTTAGTTACATTATGCTAGGATGTCCAGTACACAATTCCCTTTTTGTTTTGTTTTTTTGCTTCATTAAATGTACCACATAACATGGTGCCTCAGTAGAACTTATTCTATATTTTACTAAAAGTTTCACTCAAATCATACAAAATGTGCTATATGAAGTTCCGGTGCTTAGCTCACTATTACGGACTAAATAAAAGAATTACACAAACGATTAATGGGAAAATAAAACATGTAACATTAAAAACTCTTATCCAATTATTATTATTAGTGAACATACATTAAGAAGATTTGTGTTTTCTCTTAAAGCTTAAAAGTCATATCCAACACATGCAGGTTATGCACAATGATTAAATTCTACTGTCTTAAAGTACCAAGTTTGTCTATTTTTGTGCTTTACTTTTGTGCTTGATGCCATTACTTGAGTATATATGTATATTACATAAGCTTTTTTTTAAATTGTTGCTTAAGTTTAAATATGTCTAAAATAACTCAGTACTTTTACTGAGATTGAATTTTAGGTCTTATTTTTCTCTAATAGCCAAATAAAAAAATAATAATGAAACTTTCCATCCCTGGTTATAATGTTAATACAAAGGTTCTTCTTAAAACAGAATTATTTAATCACGACAGAAGTAACTCATTATAATGAGAAGTTTTGAGACTTGAGCACTGAGTAAATTCATTTTGCAAACATGGCAGCAACACACTGCTGTGTTCACTGAGGCGATGTGATCTCTTGGGACATCGAAGGCAACTGGAAGGAAATGTGAGTCTCCCATGAAGTCCACCTTTCATATCTCACTTTAGAGCTTTGGTCCTTGGCATCTCAGAGTCTTTTGTGCTATCCGGGTAAGCAGCTGTAACCAACAGATCTGATCAATAATATGGCCTGAGTCCGGGTCTATCGAAACCTAAAATGTGGCAGCAGTAGCTTGTGTGTTTTGGCTAGCCACAAATTCAGAAAACATAAATAAATTATAATAAAGTCAAAAGAAAATGAGGCCCAGATTACCTTCAGAATAAAAATCCAGGGGAATGCTGTTTCTTGTGATTTGCCCTTTGTGCTTAAATATTTTTTTTGCTTTTTGAGTAAATAAATAAATAAATAAAGTCCGGGCTACAGCAGCCTCGAGTGCTGGCTGTTTGGTCTGTCCGAGGCTGTCTCATTGTTTTTTTCCTGACCTAACTGGAGCCACATAAAAATAATGTGTTGTCTTTACTGAAGGTCATCCATAATGTTTCCATGGTAACTGAAGGCATGAGGAACACCGGTTGCTGTGACAACAGTGTCAGGACCATGAACATTTGAAGCCTCTGAACATCTGACCTGGTCCATCTGCAGATCAGGTGTTCTGATGTGGTTTGGTTCTCCAGAGCTCTGCGGTGAGCTGGATTTGTGCTGGTCTGAGGTCAGCCCAGTTCTGGTTTCACATCAGTCAGACAACGGCTGGACGAATGAGGACGGAAACAACCCTCTCTGGTCTGGTTCTTCCTCTATGTAACCATGCTACACACAGAGAGAGATATGTTTACCTTAATGTTCACTGGACATTTAGTCAAACAGAGGTCTGAAGAGTGAGAGCCGCTTGGGTGGATCACTGCAAAATTTTACCTTCATATTATGTACTTTTTTTTTTTTATTCTAAAGGAGGGGTAAAGATTTGATTTTGAGCCCTGGTAACTTAGGTAAAGGTAATATCAACATTAAAACGTATACTTTAAAAAAAATCTATATTTCTTTTTAATGCTCATCATAGAAAGATGATCTATAAAAGTTACTGAGGTTCAAGAGCACTTTCACAAATGGTGATGCCATTTTTTCCAGAGAATTGGTTAATAGCAGTTTGATTTCATACATTCTGATGACTAATATATATATATAATATAAGCTGCTCTGGCACAGGTTAGAGTGTCCTAGCAAGAACTGAACCACCTTTGTTAACAGTGAAAATCCAGCTAAACCCAAAGTTTATCCTATAAGCTTTAAATTCTCCTTACCAGAACAGGCCTCTGGCCACTAATGAACGAGGCTCTAATGAGAGGTCGGGTTGGCGATACTGATACCTACCCACCAATCATTGTCCTCCTGTCCCAGGACCACCAGCACCTGGCCCTCAGAAAAGCTCAGCTCGTCATGGTGGTCGGCCTGGCAGTCATACAGCGCCTGAACCCGACGACTGGATGCTCCTCGAGGCTAATTGATACATACCAAATCAGGTGTAACATTATTGCTCATGTATCACAGTGTAGCAGTTATAATTTCATTGTACTGTCAATTGGAATTTGTTCCTCTATTGTCCAAATATGATATCGATTCACTTCTTTCATTTTTCATTTTATGCTCATTCTTTGTACCTTTTGCTTGCATAACTACTGTACCTGCACACAAATTATTTGAATTATACCCCTTTACTATTAAGGATTTCTTGATCATTACTATGCAAATTGTCATGACCACTGATCAAAGACCATGAGTACTATTCACAGAGAGTTGGGCAATGGCTGTAATCACAGCATTGAAAGATGATGGCAAACGTGTTGCGGAAGCAACTGGATTGTGATTTTTTTTCCTTCCTAACATAAAAACACTGCAAGGTTGATGGGAAGTTAAATATTTTCAAAGATCTCACCAGTGATCTACGAGGAAGTGGTTGAGGGGCGGAGCCTCTGCTTTCACTCTCAAAGCTCTGAGAGCGCTGATTGGATGGAGAGCCATTTATTGGTGCCTTACTGTGGAGGATCTGGAAATGGGAGGAGCCACTTTCACTGTCCGCCCTCCGAAAACCTCAGACAGAAAGATTCAGGTTTTAAGTACATTCTCATTCATACAGGGACAATAATTACATTAAATATAAGCAAAAATATATATTTTACAATTTTATAATAGAGAAAAAATAATCATTAAAATGCATTATTAATCAGTCATAATTAAGTTTGAAATTACCTGAAATGACTAAATTAAATGATTTTTAAAAAAAACAAATAACGCGTTTTTGTGCATGTAAAGTAATACATGTTTGCATATATTAAATAATGTGAATATTAATCTCTAAATTCAATTCACTTCTTTATCAGATAAAATAACCATTTTTTGGAACAGTCACAAGCTAACACACGTGCTGTAAATAAGAAAAAGCAGCAAATCCTCAGATAAGATTTTAGAATTTTCACTAAAACTGCAGATAAATTTTGTTTTAATAAAAAAACAACCATCATAGAAGTCAGTGTAAACTCATAGAAGCCAAAATGTATCCTCAGATTTTGTCTGCTCTTCTGCTCTCTGGTTAAAGACTGTAGGTGCACGCTGTCTGTAAACATTTATCACGGGTAGGCATAATGGATTTAACAGACTGTTGATACGTAAAACAGACTCAGGTCTCAGAAGACGTTTTGGGACAGGAAGTACCTCTGTCAGATCGTTCAGTCAGTGAGCTGAGAGGAGAAGCTGGACTGGAAAAACAGAGACAGACAGGGAAGAGGAGAAGGAGTCCGTGTTATTGTTTGTGGTGTTTTGAAGCTCATCACACTGACCTGTATTTCACCTCCTATCCACCAGAGGTCAGTACAATCTCAATTCATCTAAGTAGAAACTGCTTCACTTTGTTTATTTCATAACTATAAGAATAAAGTTCCAGCTTTAACCTTTTAGGTCCTCTTTAATTCTTTTACAGTCATGTATGAAATAATAAACCAACAATATTCATATCTGCTGTCTGTCCCAATAAATTTACTCTGACAGATTTTGAACAAATTCAAATTTTAGGATCTCTCCTAAAATTCATTTGTTTCTATTTTGCTTAAAACTTTGTTCGTTTGAATTCTGAACAACAACATGAGCTGAATAGCACCTCAGTCTGTGAGACATCCCTTCATCGCACATCCAATTATAAGCTTCATCAGCAACATAACAAATTTCCCAGAGGAACCCACCCGAGGGATGAATGAAGTTTTATCTTATCTTATCAAAGGTTAAATTTTAGCTTTATTTTTTTTTTAAGCTAGGATACAAAAACAACTAAATTCAGTGGACCATTTTAGAACACTGGACTGTACATACAAACTCCTGTAGTGCTCCTGGAGTTTGTATTCATACACCAAAAAAAAAAAAAAAAAAACCCACACACTTTTACATAATAATAAAGAGACACAACCAGTGTTGTGATCATCATCATTGCAGCAGCTGTTGCACCAATGATGATCACAACACTGGTTATGAGCCAGATTTTTCCTGGATGTGCTCGATGCAGTGCTGTGGATACTCACACACACTTCCTGAAGGAGGAGTCTGGACCACTGTATATCCTGGGACTGGCTGGCAACCCATAATCTACACCCACACACACACAGAGAGAGAGAGAGAGAAAGAGAGAGAGAGTTAATAACACAGTATCCTTCTGACTGATTAATTACAGTGTGCCTCTCAGATATTACCATGCTTGCTGGACTCAGAGCAGCTCCGCTTGTGTCGGACAGCAATGGGAGAGGGAGGGGTAATCCTTCTATTTCCTGTCAGGGGAAAGAATACCTCACCCTCTCCCTCCTCTTCCTCCCCCATACCATCTCCTCCAGACGGAGGTGGAGGAGGAGGAGGAACATTGGGAGCTGAAAGCCAAAAGAGAGCATTGAGGTTTTTCATTCAGGCAGCAGGTAAAGCCAGAGAAAGACCTTGAACCAGATAAAACATTTAAAAAATGTTTATATGAGCTGACCTTTGACCCTGGGAGGCAGCGGGGGCGCAGGAGAGGATGGAGGAGGAGGTGGTGGGCTGGGGACGGAGCCAGCGGGATGGCTGTGAAGCTCCATAGCCATGGCGAGTCTCCTCCCCACACTGAGAAGGCCTCCAGCTGGTCCTCCGGGTGTTCCAGAGGAGGACAACGTGACACAGGAGGAGTTGGACTGACTGAAGCTGAAGGGACGGGAGGAGAAGGAGAAGGAGGGGGTGAAAGAGGAGGATGAGGAGGAAGTGGAGCGCTCCTTTTTCAACGGACCATTCTGAAACAGGGTGAAGCACATGAAGACGTTAGCAGAGAGAAAGCAGTGAACAATTTATAAAGATTGATAACTTAAAACTCATTATGAGCATCATGAATAAACTGCAGATTTTATATACAAAGACTTTTACTCTAACGAGGAAGGAAGCCAAACATGTTTATTTCAAACAGAGTACAAACCAATGGGCTGCACCATAACCCAATAAAATAAGGATTATTTCAAATTGTGAACTGTGCAAAACTCCGATAGCAGAGTAGAGTAAATTATAAATACAAGTAACAGATCCCCCTTATACTTATATATGAAAGCAGAACATGAAGAAAAGGCAGTGACATTATTTAAATTACTCTGAGGACATTTTTTTGTAAAAATCTCAAC